GGCGACCGCGCCAGCGCGCGCGGGGCGGCCCGGCCATGGCGGCGCCGCTCGCTGCTCTTACCTCAGCGCGCAACGCACCCGCACCAAACGGATCGAATCCGCCGCTTGGCGAATGTTTCGTTCCACATTTAATATATGGTAGTTCTATAGTGCACACAACAGAGGGATTCATTCCCAAGTTAAAACAAACGAAAATGAAACACAAGTAGCTTCAGTCTTAGTCTTATAATTAAACGGTGTTTTACCAACAAAGGGGTTGGGTTTTTTTTGTTTTTTTTTTTTCGTTTTTCTGGCAGTCAGCTGATGCTGATCGCTGAGGGGTCACGTCCAGAAAGCAATCCTTGGGTCCCTGTCTGAAACAGCACGTGGAGCTAAACAAGCCACCAGGATAAACGCAGCTCCAAGGAGAAGTTCTACCCGGCCCACCGGTTTTGCACCTCTGGTCTACTCTCCGTTAGTTGCTTGTCCTCTTTCCGGACATGGCTAGTGATTAGTTACTCCGATCCACGGGATCGCACCTTAACCCTCGGAAGAGGATGTGTTTGACCTGTTATTAACCTTAGCAAATGTCCCAAAAGTTGGATCAGATGCCACAGAATCAAACGCTACAGAATCACAGAACATTTGAGGTTGGAAGGGATCTCTAGAGATGACCTAGTCCAACCCCCCCTGCTCCAGCAGGGACACCTGGATTGCGCTGGTGCAGCTCACAAAGGCCCGTGGCTGAGCAGAGGCAGCTCTCAGGAAAACCTGACAGGTTAAGTTCAACAGTGGCTCTAGCCAGGCCTGACATTAATATCTATATTCCTACACCTACTCAAGCCAGTCCCTCTGGAGCAGCCTGGGCTCCTTGCAGAGCCCATGGAAACCGCAGCCTCCACCCTAGGCACTCTGAACCACCCTTGGGTGGACCTTGCAGACAGACCCACTTCTCAAATCCATCAGCTCCAACAGCTCCATGAAGGAGCTCTGGATACAAGAATACAAATGCTTCTTAGTCCAACAGAAACACACATCACACGCACCCCGCTTTAGGAACCTGCTGCAGGTTATGCCAAGGCTGAAGCTGTTCTCTGAACGGCATGATTTCTGTCTACATTACAGATCCTTCTGAGATACAAACTGGCACAAGATAAACTGCACTGCTGCCTGGCCCCACACATCAATGATTTTTTTTCCCCAAACAGTCTTCTCTGTCATTTCTGTAACTGAATTTTGCTCAATAGGCCAGAAGGACAACAGCAAATATAAACAGCAAGAAAAAAACTCACCCAGAAGTTCATTATTAGAAAATTCATTCATTTTTTAAGTGCTACAAATATTTCTCTTCTAGCCCTGAAGTATAACAATACTTGATCACTGACAGTATTCAGAGACTCAGATGTTGAGCTGTAGAAATAAAAGAAAATTATTTTCTTAAAACAGAGTTAATCCAGACAGCTTAATTGATGACAGAACATCAGTGTGAGAGTAGATTTAAACACACAGGAAGATAAAAAGAAAAGTGTTATTAGTGGATGCTGAAATACATGCTAAGAGCATGATTTTTTATTAACAAAAGTTGTCATTAGTATCAAAAAAATGCTAAAATAACACTTATAAAGATAAAATAATGCAGCAGAAACCACCGCTCAGGGTAGTTCAAATCGGGGTATTTCAGCACCTCTGGTGCTGAAGCCAGAGACTCGTTGCACAACGAGGTGTGGACATGGCTACAAGCCCTAGACCCTGGTGACAGTTCCCATTTTACTGTCCTTTGCCAGCTGGTTTAGACAGCCTGCAAAAAGCCATGGCCACTGTTATGCCAAACGTGCACTTGTTTCAGCCGGAACTGAGACCATTACTTGAATAACTAAATGATGAGTTAGCTTTTACACTATTTTGTTTATCCTCCAAAACCATCTGTGCGGTTTGAATATCATTTCATTTTCATTTATGATAATACAAGAATATGGAAATTATTTAGCCTTCAAATTTTATCTTTTTCTGTAGGAAAAGCAAATTTCATACAGCTTCCCAGAAGGGTAATAGATAAATAAGATCAGATTTTGAATAAAGGCCAGCAGCATCTCTTTAAATTTTGGATGTATGCAGTAAATAAAATTAACCCCTGTACAGCTGGCAAGCCCAAAGCTATACACTTGTTGAAGTGGCTACAAATGAATTTCCCTGGTTGTGAACACATAACGCAATGTCATTACTCCCTGCAGTTTAGATCTCTCAACCCACTTACTTAGCAGGTGACCACCACACGCCAAAATGCCTTTCCAAAAACATCCCAGAAAATCACTCAGGGAGTTGTTTGGCCCCACAGATGAACCCAAGGACGCAGCTTGTTAGCAGGTAGCCAGGGCCCAGGTGAGACGTGTCGTGGACGCAGTTTGTGAGGGGCTTCCTCAACGTGGTGCCACAAGGAGGATGGGGAGCGGAGAAGGTCACACTTGGGAAAGTGGACAGGAACAGACTCTGTTTGCGTTTGTAATGTCACCAAACACTGCACGGCTCGAGTCTGGTCTCATCTGTACTTCTGAGAATAAAAACGTAGACCACAGGGCTACAGCGGGATAAACCAGAAGGAAATACACCCATCCTCAGCGGAATGGTGTAGACAGCACAATTTATCTTGGGTAGAGAAGGCAGTAATGGTGATTCCTCCCATTTTATGCCATCGGGGTTGCAACACAACCGTCTCATACAATTTTAAAGAGGGTTAAGCTGTGCCTATAACAAATGCTGTTACAAATGCTAAGCTACAATTCAAACCTTTTTAGCTAACTCGAGGCTTCCTTTTAAAGAAGCTTTCCCCAGCCCAGACTAACCATTAGGTAAAGAGCTGGCAGTAGTGAGAGAGAGAAAGGGATTTATGTGCATGCATCAACGGGAGAATATATCCCTTTGTGAATGATTTCCTTGGGTCTCCTGCTTACAGATGAAGAGATATGTGATATAACAATTCACTGTTCTGACACACATTACAATCATGATGTGCAGTTTTTAATGCATCGTGTTACATTAAGCTTAGCCCATGGTCTAACACCATGTAACATAAATTTCTGTGAAGGGAGTAACATAACATGATACTGTCTTTTAAAAGACACACACGATTTTTTCAGATCACCTACCTTTTATCCATGAATGCCCAATCCAAAAATCAAGGTGGCAGACAAAAGTAGAGTGAATGGGTATCCACAAACCACAGTATTTATCTTGTGTAGTTTTGCTCATTGCTACCTGTAGTCAATGACTCCAGTCAATTTTTATGTTGTAATGCATGAGCAAAGTTGATGGACATATTCTTTTGTCACCTCCCTCAGTTAGATTTTATTCGAGGTCAATCATGAGAGACCTAACAGATATTAAGGATGTAAAACACACTGCAATTCCTCATTAGTGTTTGTTTTCATGGTAGAAAAAGAGTTTTGATGATGAACCTATCACTAGCATTATTTTGGCTAATCATATTTAATTTATATATCCTATCTGTGAGATAGTTTCTTCATTTTAATTAACAGTTTCTACCTGGGGAATATTTTAAAATAAAATTATTTCATAAGTGATTCTCATTGGAATGAAATAAAATGAATTATTGTCTTGACAATAAAATCTCCATGAAAGATCAAATTCAATTCCAAAGTTTAAGGTATTCACATAATAAAGACATATATGATCAATCTCTTTGGGAAGAAAAAAAAGAGGTAAATTCCATTATAATTTTATTTCTTATTTCTCTCCTCCTGAGTCTTTAGAAAGCTTCAGGGTTTTTGACGACATTTTTGTACAAATAGCTCTAAATCAATCTTAAATGTGTACTCAATTCCTTGATGTTAATATGTGCCACTATCTTTATTTTTAACCTAATCCTTTCCACCGTGTGCTACGAAACAAAACAATGAGAAACTCACGGACATCAACTGACATCTGTGTGGGTTTGCCTGATCACATGCTTCAGTGCAAAGTTTAAATACCAGTAAAGGGGATTCCTCCTTTTTTGGCCACATCCAAAAGCCGTGATTCTTACCACAGAATGAACGCTCGAGACAATACTCTCCAGAGAAGAAACAGCCCCTGCCAGTGCTTAGCAGACAGGAACGTGCTGGTAGCACACGGAGGTGCAGAACTGCAAAGTAACTGGCAGCCAGCAAGGCAGTCCCTGCTAACATCCCTTCGGGTGCTGCAGGCGACGATGTGACAGCTTCTCATGAGTCAGTGAAAAAGGAAAATAATACCTGCAGATTGCTGCATCAAAACGAAGCTGTATTTAGAAAGTCTAAGGGGAGACCAAAATATATGTGCTTTTAATAGGACAGCAATCCTGGCTGACAAAGATAAATGCATTGCTATGATACAGTCTGACACTGTAAAGCATTTGACACGATATCACACTACATCCTGATTAGAAATTTAGCACTGTACAGTATCAGTGTAGCACATGTTAAGTAGTTTGGAAATTGGCATATCTGCAAAAATGCAAAGGTTCTGTAAATGGGCAATTGTCATAACATGGGAATTTTTGGTGGCTTCTTGCAGGATTTTTTTTCCTCAGGCTCACACTATTCAAAATGTTTATTAATCATCTGAGAGGAAATATAAAATAATTGCTAGTACAGCCTGCTGCTGACACAAATGTTAGTGGCATTGTACATAATAAGAACAGATTTGTTCTGTAAAGCAATTTGGATTGCTTGGTACAATAAAATTATAAAACCCAAATATAGGAAAAGTCAGGGTCTTAGGCTGAGGGAGAAAGAATATAGGTCAGACCTGTGGGTTGAAAGCCTCTGTCTTAGCACCTCTAGAAAGGATTGCTGGGTTGCAGGGGCCAGCCACCACAATGGGAGCCTGCAGAGCAAGACGTGAGAAGTCAAGGGCAGCTGGGCAGTGAAGAAAGCAGAGGGCTGGGCCAACCTGCAGTACACACCGAGAGGCAGCTTACGGCAACAGCAGGTTCACAACCCAGCCAAGGGGTCAGACACGACAACGGGCAGATCAAGCTAGACAAAACCAGAATTAATAGGGTGCTGTTTCTTAAGTCCTGAGCAGCCAGGTAGAGGAGACGCACACCTATGGGTCCCCGTGGCTGTCCAGAAGGCTACCTAAAGCCAAGGGGAATGGAGAAGTTGGAAGCTAAGTTGGGATGGCTCTTTCAAACCTCATTCTCAGCCCATTAAGGACATTCGGGGAGGACATTCTCCCCACAGACAGTAGCTGGAAGTGTGTCCAGGGGGCCTGTGAGGGCCAGGGAGAGGAGCGGGGCGAGGCGCCCTGCTCCGAGCGCTCAGAGCCGGAGAGCGGCACGCCGCCTCCTGGGGCCCGGCTGGGAATTCCGGGAGATGCTCACAAATGGCGTTAAACATCCGGGTTTAGATGTAATTAAAAATTAGATCTAACCAGTTAATTAATTAAAAATAGAACGTTGAAAGGAGAGGTGATGCATCTGTACTAGAGCTTGAAGTTTCTCAGCGTATTTCAGCATATAAGAAATGTGCTCACACTTCTCAGTGATGCCAACAGCGCTGCCTGGGGAAGGAAGAGGAAAGTATCCACATTTTTAAGGTCAGCATCAGCTTGATTATAATAATGACTATGTCTTCAAGCCAAGTGATTTATTAGTTTTCTGACTTTATGGTAAAGCTAATATTGTTTTTTTTTTCTTTTTTCTTTCTTTTTCTTTTTTTTTTTTTTTTTTTCAAATGTTTTATCAAGAAGGAAAGCCTCTGCTTTCCCTACTGTTTGTTTAGGCTGAACTAGCAGGGCTGACAAATATTTTTGTCATTTGACTAGTCTTGCTCATGAAAATCTGTGAAATAGATTGAAGGCTGAAAATGTGGGATTGTTTCTGTTCCAGTCCATGAATGAAGAAAGATAGAGAAGACAACACTGACAAAACCTTAATGGTGAGGGGCCAGATATCCAAAGATATTTTTGTGCCTGGAGATGGAGACAGGTGACCAGTGGGAACTTCAAAATCCCTCTCTCAGATTAAATGCCTAACTCCTGTTGACTCCAATGGCAACGAGGCACTACCCCACACAGGCACTTCTGATAATCTCACTAGTCATTTATCTGCATCTTAGACATCTAAGTATTAGCTCCTGGAGGCAGGAAATAATCTCTCGGATCACTAATGTATCTACTTCCTTTGTTTAGTAATTTATCTGTTTTTAAATCTAAAACATCCTTTTTAAGGGGGGAGGAAAAGTAATGCCATATGTTTAATACAGCTAAATATAATTAATTAAGCAAGTTTTATGCATTTAGATTGATTTTTAGTTTCCACTTCAATGCATTTTAATACAAACCCTAAAGAAAATCATCGCTTAGTAAAAAGAAGACTTTTGCTATTTCCTGAGATAATATATATGTAAAACATAAGCATCTGAATAGATTACACTAATTCTCACTCTCTCATTGTGTATATTCCTATGCTAAAATAAAACAGATATTGAAAACATAAAATATACATTGCAAATACAGTTGCAAATCAGCTTGTGTTAATCATTATGCCAATCAATGAGAATGAAAATAATTACCAAGTACAAATGCAAAGCAAAATAAAATCAGATACTCAAATCAAGCTTTCCTTCTCACTGATTTTAATCATGATTAAAATTGGAAGCTTAAATTACTGCGAGCAGGTAAAGACTAACAAGGATCTGTAAGATAAGGCACCATGAAATGCAGCCATGATCTCTTAAATGTGTTCTTTCCAGAATCAAAAGAAATTTTGCACCTTGTTCTCCTGTTTACTGACCCAGATCTATAAAGATTTCTGTGCCTTAATCAATGCAAACATAACATGATGTCTAAGTGACCTGTTCTCAGAGTATATGATTACCCCTAGCTCTTCTGCCAGCATATTACAGGTAACGTTTGCAAGCAAATAACCCGTAATATTCAGAGCTTCTTGAGGGCTATGTAACCCTTTCCATGTAACAGCTGGGCCCTTTGAATGCTTGGGTCTAATTCCTTGATTTTCAGAACTCTCAAGGCATTCCTATCTGGCCAAATAAACAAACTCCTCTGCTGCTCCAAAGGGGAAGAATACAGCCCGTATCTCCCACCACTGGGCTTGAAGGGCATATGCACAACGCAGCTCACCTGTAACACCCCTTCCCCTCTGCAAAAGCTTCACTTAAGTTTTGCAGGGAATAAAGTAGATCACATCTCAGCGCAGAATAGCTTGATGAAAAATAGCATCTGCTTCCTTTCACTAACAGTCAGGGCCAGAATATTTTATCTCTTTGTTTTCTAAATCTTGCTGTGTCTTGCTGAGATGTCTGGGCCGCTGAATTTTCTTAATGGAGTGCATGGATAATAAGACTTACGTGCATAACTTTTTTGTGTCACTCTGAAAATTGCCTCCTGCTGCATTTCTCTAAGGCTGGAAGAATAACCTTTATACCTTGAAGGCTTCTAAAAGGCCTGAAGTAAACATTTAATGGAATGGATACAATAACGTGACATCATTCCAGTAAATACAGCTTGTGCTGGGAAGCTTGTTCTACCATAATACTGTTACTTAGTCAT